TCCTCAGATGGCTGGCCTCAGCTCAAGAACTCCTTGATGAGCTTGCTAAACTTCCTTAGGCTGCAGGTGGTCTAAGATACTTAACTCCTCCTTCTTTCTTTCTCTCCTTTTCCTGGGGTAAGACCTACGTAGAGTCTAGTGGTGTTCTAGCCTCCCTGACTCCCTCTCATTTTCGCTCACACATGCATTCCAAATCATAATAAAATCCATGCACACTGAATCCCTTCCTGGGATCTGCTTCTGGGGGATCTACCTGCACTCATGCAGTGTGATAATACCTCGTAGTGAGGACCGAATGCGGCCATGTCAGCAGAGTGCTTGTCAGAGTGACAGGCATGAGTAAGAACCCAGTAGGCAGTTCAGGCTCCTGTCACCTTCACCACCATCAGCAACACCATCCTCATCACCATCTGGCCAAGTTTGCTTCTTTTTTGGCTCCAGGCACAGAGATCTTCAGTGATTCATCCCAGGTCACATACAAACACAATAACTGTATTAGGGTGAGAGCAACTGTGGCTTCTAAGGAGAAGAAATGGATTAATGAAACACCCTTTAAAAATTTATCCAACTTGGCTAGGTGTGGTGGCTCACACATGTAATCCCAGCACTTTAGGAGGCCGAGGTGGGCAGATCACTTGGGGTCAGGAGCTGAAGACCAGCCTGGCCAGCATGGTGCAACCCCGTCTCTACTAAAAATGCAAACATTAGCCAGGCATGATGGTGCATGCCTGTAGTCCCAGCTACTTGGGAGGCTGAGACAGGAGAATCACTTGAACCTGGGAGGTGGAGGTTGCAGTGAGCTGAGATTGCACCACTGCACTCCAGCCTGAGCAACAAAGCAAGACTCTGTCTCAAAAAATATATATATATATATATCCAACTTAAGCACAATCCAGATCCTTTTCCAGCCATTGAAATGTGCAGTCTTCTTTGCCAAAGCAACCAACTCCATTTTTAGTCACATGTACAAAAGGTTTTGTAACATTCTGCGATCTCTGCTGGTACTCCTGACATCTACACATGTACTCCAGCCCGTAAACCAGGACTGCTCATTTGCTGTTCCTAAGAACCCTGTGGATGGTTAGAAAAAGAGGTGGCTGTTATTATTCACATTTCACAGTAAGCAAACAGAGAAACTAAGTCACAGTTTCAAGGTCATGCAGTCACTCATGGGTTTGGGATGAAACTCTGATTTTTGCTCTGATGCTTTGGAAGCTCAGAAATGGGTGGATTCTGTTTAAACTCTGCCCTAAGGGGCAGTCTCTTAGCAAACTGGCACCAACTAGGATCTGGCCTGAAGAGACCTTTCTCAAGCCCAATTCTGCCCAGCCTCGGGGATGCTAGAAGCTTGGGAAGCATCCATGATACTGGTCAGTGGAGGAGACCCAGCCCCCACTCCGCTCCATGCTCATGCCATTGCATGTCAGCTGATGAGGCTTAAAGCTAATGTTGCTTACCTGGTGCTGGGGTGCACGTTCCTTCAGTTGGCTGGCAAGCCCCCGAGGCTGGGAGGGACTGTGCCTCATCCCCACCATAGTGCAGCCCTTTGTGCCCATTCATCATTAAATAAATGGCTTGTTTTTGAGAGTGCTGGTGATTCTGATGGGGCTTTTGTGTGAAGGAATTACCACCATCACCAACACCACCACCAACAGAAAACAACATGTACTATATGCCAGGCACTATGCCAAGAAATTGAGATCCAGTGATTAAAAGATGAACTTTCTCACTCCAGGAAGTTGGTAGGCTAGTGAGGAAGATCGGCATGCTGAGCCTGCCTAGGAGAGCCCAGGGCGACTTCATAGAGCAGGCGGCTTTTGGCTGAGACTGAAGAGGATGAGAGTTCTCCAGGCACATGAGGGTGGGGAAGGGGTTACTGGCCAAAGGACAACACCTGCAAAGGTGTGGAGGTGTGAACAGAGCACTGCTGTGTTTGAGGACCTGCTTTCAGTATTGCTGGAGTGCCAAACTATTTGCCATTTGACGCTCCTCATCCATGTTGTCTGTGTGGTTTGGATGTGGCAGCATTCCTTCCACCCTTAATTCACTTATTCTACCATCATTGATTGGCCACCCACCATACGCCATGCACTGTGCAGAACATTAGTGGTGCAGAGGTGAGGTGTAGACAGGGTGCCTGCCCTCATGGAACTTTCATTCTAATGGGAGGGGGGACAAGGGCGCAGCCTCTATCAGCAGCGTGCATAATGAATGCTGAGCAAGGAAGATGTATTAGTCTGTTCTCCTGCTGCTAATAAAGACATACCCAAGACTGAGTAATTTATAAAGGAAAGAGGTTTAATGGCCTTATAGTTCCATGTGGCTGCGGAGGTCTCACAATCATGGAGGGTGAATGAGGAGCAAAATCGCTTCTTACATGGCAGCAGGGGAACTCACCTTTATAAAGCCATCAGATCTTGCGAGACTTATTCACTGTTACAGAACAGCATGGGAAAACCTGCCCCGACTCTTCAGTTACCTCCCACTGGGCCCCTCCCCCGACACTTGGGGATTATGGGAATACAATTTAAGATGAGATTTGGGTGGGGACATAGCCAAACCATATCAGGAGACCTGAACTAGTGGAGGGCAAATTAGTTTCCTGGGGCTTCTGTAGCAAATTGCCACACATGTAGTGACTTAAAGCAACACTAATTTATTATTATATGGTTCTGGAAGTCAGAAATTCAAAATCAGCCTCCCTTGGCTAAAATCAAAGGGTAAGCAGTACATTTTCTCTCGGGAGGCTTTAGGGGAGGATCCTTCCCTTGACTTTTCCAGCTTCTAGAGGGACCACATTCCTTGGCTTATGGGTGTATCACTCGAACCTGTGCTCCGTCCTCACATCCCTTCTCTCTCTGGTTGCCCTGCTTCTTTTTATAAGAACTCTTGTCATTATATTGAGGCCAACCACATAATCCGAGATCATCTCCCGTCTCAACATTCTTTACTATTATTACTATTATTATTATTATTATTATTTTGAGACTGAGCCGTGCTCTCTTGCCCAGGCTGGAGTGCAGTGGCACGATCTCGGCTCACTGCAACCTTCGCTGCAACCGCCAGGTTCAGGCGATTCTCCTGCCTCAGCCTTCCGAGTAGCTGGGACTACAGGTGTGTGCCACCATGCCAAGCTAATTTTTATATTTTTAATAGAGAGTGGGTTTCACCTTCTTGGCCAGGATGGTCTTGATCTCTTGACCTCGTGATCTGCCCGCCTCAGCCTCCCAAAGTGCTGGGATTACAGGCATGAGCCACCACACCCGGCCCCATCTCAACATTCTTAATCACAGCTGCAAGGTCCCTTCTGTCATGTAAGATAACATTCATATGTCTTAGGGATTGGGACGTGGACACCCAGCATCAACAGTAGCAAGGGGGAAAGTGAATGCAGCGTCTTTAGGGAAAGGTTAGCAAGAACATCATACCCAGTTTGCTGATTCTAACACATAGATCTTTCAATCCAATTTCCAGTCAATTTTGTGTTCATGTAAATCTGAGGGAAATTTAACATGGACTGATTTTACTGGATTGGATAATATGCCATAGAAGACTGATGTTCAGCTCGGTTTCCAAAGAGAGAAACTGATTTCTAGGGTCTAGGAGGAGAGGCAGATTTTTGCAAACTTAGATTTTTCTAAGCCACCACCCCGACAGCCAGGCGTTTTGAACGGGGAGTGACATAGCCTGCTCTTTGACTTTTCCAACAGTGATGGAGCAGTTTAACCCCCTGCTGGAGTGAGACTGTTTACCCCACTTAGGTAATTAGGTTTGTCATCTCCTAATACCTTATTTACATAACAGCCAGCTTTCACCATGACAGAGACATAATAAGAATTCAGATAATAAAGGGAGAACAAAACTGAAATACAGTGGCTGTTTCTTGCTGCACAAGACATTTCTGTGATGCATGATAGCATTGCATGTGCGTCACCACCCCAAACTTCCTGCCATCGCAGAAGAGCCTCCAGCTGGACCTATTTATTTCCAAGGTAATGAAATTGCCCTGTAGAGAACAGGGACCTTAGAGAATTCTATGTGCTTAGAAAACCAGGAGACATTTTCTTTCCAATGACATCTTATTGGAAAACTACAGAAGAAAAGTTCTATTACTAATAGATCAGGAGTGGCTATGCCTAAGTCACATCTTCTATTAAGATATAACAAGCTCATCCTTTTTTCCTTTGTTTTGTGACAAGAAGACTTTTTTTTTTTTTGAGACAGAGTCTTGCTTTGTCACCCAGGCTGGAATGCAGTGGTGCGATCTTGGCTCACGGCAACCTTGGCCTCGCAGGTTCGAGCAATTCTCCTCCCTCAGCTTCCCGTGCAGCTGGGACTACAGGTGCATGCCACCACACCCAGCTACTTTTTATACTTTTCATAGAGATGGGTTTCACCATCTCCATGTTAGCTAGGCTGGTCTCGAACTCCTGACCTTGTGATCCACTTGCCTTGACCTCCTAAAGTGCTGGGATTACAGGTGTGAGCCACCGTGCCTGGCCACCAAGAAGACTTTTAAAGTCTCTAGATGCTCCTCTCTTCTCTGCTTTTGGTATCAGCAGCCATTGGTACTCGGATAGAGTAGTTGGGTATCCCTCTCCTATTTACTTCCTCTCCACGTTCAACAGCATGTTTGTTTTTAAATATGGTGATTTGTTGTGTTCCTTACACATTGTTTCAACAAGGAAGCTAAGGGAGGAGGTGAATTATAAATAACAGAGAGACGGCTTTCAGTTTGGACCCTTGTAGAAAAATGTAAGCATTTCAAACTCAATTTATCCTTTTTTTGTAAACTGGAACTCCTGATGCTTATTTTTTAAAACTGAAATGGGTACCTAGCAACTGATCAAATTCCCTAACTGCAGGCTTGTTGAACCAGTGTTTAATCCTCACATTTGAAAGCTGGCTCAAATAAGACATCTGTGCTTTGTTTCTGACACGTTTTGTGTTTATTTATAAACAAACTCTCTTATTCTTTGTCCCCCACCCTGACTCCTCAGTGGCTGTTCCCGCAGCAGCACCAGTGTGCCAGCCCAAGAGCGCCACTAACGGGCAACCCCCGGCTCCCGCTCCGACTCCGACTCCAACTCCAACTCCGCGCCTGTCCATTTCCTCCCGAGCCACAGTGGTAGCCAGGATGGAAGGCACCTCCCAGGGGGGCCTGCAGACCGTCATGAAGTGGAAGACGGTGGTTGCCATCTTTGTGGTTGTGGTGGTCTACCTCGTCACCGGCGGTCTCGTCTTCCGGGCATTGGAGCAGCCCTTTGAGAGCAGCCAGAAGAATACCATTGCCTTGGAGAAGGCGGAATTCCTGCGGGATCACGTCTGTGTGAGCCCCCAGGAGCTGGAGACGTTGATCCAGGTGAGCAGGGAGTGCGTCCACCAGAGACCAACTGGTGGGGTGGATGGCAGTGTTGGCTTTATCCTTCTGGGTCTCTAGTCTTGCCTTCAGTTGAGAGGGTCCTGGTGGTCAGGGAAGTCTTCTCCAGGGAGGTGATGTGTGAGCTGAGACCTCCAAGGATCGATAGTGAGGCTTGTGACAATGTGGGGGAACGAGGGTCTGTGTTGTGCATCTGCTTTTAGGTGAGTGGCCAGAGGCCGCAGCAGGCCAATGTGCTTTGGATTTTCAAGTTCAAGTCTACCTTTGTGTACTGATTAACTCCTTGCTTCTGAACTCTCTGTGGAATGCTGGGATAGAACTCAAAGAAGGAAAGAATTTTAAATATGTGGATTTAGAATAAGCAGGGATACATTCACCTGCCCAAGGTCCATGAGGATGAGGTAGAGAAGAGGTCACCAGGTGTGTAGGTGAAGCTGCTGTCAGTGGCCTGAGACAGCTGTTTTAGTGGATTTATGGGGCTGAAATAATATGGATCACAGTAGTAGCAATCATCAGGTTTGCTGTTTTTGAATACTTGCTGTGTATCAGGCACTATACTAAAGCCCTTTCCTACCCTGGATATTAAGGAAAAATGATCCATGAGAAAACGGAAGCAGACAACTTGAACTGTGGCATTAAGAAGCACAGCAACACGTCTGGGCGATGGGTGAGGGCTTGACAGGGGTGGGCTGTGGCGGCGAGGGGCTGTAGGAAAGCCAGAGAGACATCGACAGGGATGTGGTGTGAGGGACTACATCAGGAGAGTCGAGAAGGCTGGGAAGCCAGAGAGAATAGTAGTTCTCATGAGGAAGAAAGGGAAATGGTAGAGAGCCCTGCTGGAGGGCTTCACCTTGCATGTGAAGGAGGAAGGCTGCCTCAGAGGCTCAAGTTCCACTTTCTATCCCAGACACTCTCCTGAACTGCAAAGAGTGGGTTTTGGTGGAAGGCGGTGACATTTATGGAGGTGAGAAAGAGTCTCATCTTTCTGAGGGCTCTAAAGTTTGGAAGGCGGAGGGATGGAAAATATAAGCTTTCTTCAGTTCTGACTCTGGGATGATGCAGGTGAAATTCTAATGGCTGTAACAACCCAAGATAGTGTAGGATTCCCAAGTCTGGGCTGTTTTACTATTTATTTATTTCCTACCATACCAACAGAGTGAGGGAATCCTGATGCTACTTACGACCTGGTACCTTCATAGCAAGCGTATTCTTGTCAGTTAGTTTTAATAATCTGACTTGGTTCTTTAATAAATAGAAATACAAATTCTTCCCTTCCTGGGAATAAATATGATTTCATAACTATGCCCTAAAATTTTTCTTAAAAACTAAAATGTTAAAAATCCAAGGGCAGCATAACTGTTTCATAGGAAGTCAGTTCTCTGAATGGCTTTGTCTTTTTTTCCTTTTTCTTTTTTGAAACAGGGTCTCATTTTGTCATCTCAGGCTGGAGTGCGGTTGTGTGATCACAGTTCACTGCGGGTTCAACTTCCTGATCTGGGAGGGCTCAATTGATCCTTCCACCTCAGTCTCCAGACTAGCTGGGACTACAGGCATGTGCCACCATGCCTGGCTAATTTTTGTATTTTTTGTAGAGTCAGGGTTTCAACATGTTGCCCAGGCTGATCTTGAATCCCTAGGCTCAAACATTCCACCCGCCTTGGCCTCCAAAAGTGCTGGGATTACAGGTGTGAGTCACCATGCCCATCCCTTTTTTTCTTTCATGGGAAAATGCTACCACGTTTGTGGTGATGATATTGTTGTAGTAATCGGTGCCAGATTTAAAGCCTAGCATGCTATAGAGAATGGAAGAAACACTTCTGGAGTAGTTTTAAGTAGGAGTATAATTACATTTATACGCATTGTTGTGATATGTGGCAGGATCCTTTTCAATTAGTTGCAACACATGTAATAATAACCTAATCGGTGATCTGAAGGGAATCTAGTGTCCTGCTTGAATTTTCCTTCTTTAGGCAGTGAGATCTTGAAGAAAAGGACCACATTGTCTTATCTTTGCCTCCACGTGTGGTTTATGCTTTGCTTTGGCTCTAATTATTGCCCAGTAGATAAATGCTTTTAGAGCAAGATATCAAAATAAATTATGCAACATTGGTGATGTCACAAGCTAGCTGAGCTTTTCCATGCATTTGTTGATTAATTCAGTGTCTCCGTATTGCCCATTCTTTAACCCCCTTCTTTATGAGAGAGCTCAGAGACCTGAGTGAAGGACAGGGTTGGGGAATGTGGAGGTCCTAATTCTGATGCTGCCATGAAGACCGGTGCCCTGTTTGACCTCGAAGATTTCTCTGTGAAATGAGTTATGTGTGTGCATGTGTGTGTTTGTGTGAATGTGTTTGCACATACATATGTGTGTGTTCCTTTAAGAGAATTTCATAATTTAAAAAGCTGCTCTTTATTAGTTACCTGTTATGAGCTGGGTATCACATACCTATTATCTCATGTAATCTTATCAAAAACACTCTAAGTTCATATTATGATCTTTATTTTACAGGTCAAGAGGTGAGTAACTTTCCAGCCCCCGAAATGGTAGAGCTGGTATTCAAAGCAAGGTTGGACTGACTGTACACTCTCTCATCCAAATAGTCTACAGGCCCTTTAAGTAGGTCTTGGTTTATAATAAGCTCCAGTCTCTCTTAAACACACGCTTTATGTTGAATGTTGTATCAGTCCATTCTCACATTGCTATAAAGAACTACCTGAGACTGGGCAATTTATAAAGAAAAGAGGTTTAATTGACTCACAGTTCCGCAGGCTGTACAGGAAGCGTGGCTTGGGAGGCTTCTGGAAACCTACAATCACGGCCGAAGATGAAGGGGAAGCAGGCATGTCCTGTATGGCTGGAGCAGGAGGAAGAGAGAGCAGAGGGAGAGGTGCTACACACTTTTAAACAACCAGATCTCTGTTGGGCATGGTGGCTCACGCCTGTAATCCCAGCACTTTGGGAGGCCGAGGTGGACGGATCACCTGAGATCAGGAGTTCAAGACCAGCCTGGCCAACATGGTGAAACCCCATCTGTACTAAAATTACAAAAATTAGCTGAGCGTGGTGGTGCATGCCTGTGGTCATAGCTACTAGGGAGGCTGAGGCAGGAGAATCGCTTGAACACAGGAGGTGGAGGTTGCAGTGAACTGGACTGCATGCCAGCCTAGGCGACAGAGCATAACTCTGTCTCAAAAAACAAAAAGACAGATCTCATGAGAACTGACTCACTATCACAAGAACAGCAAGGGGGAAATCCGCCTCCATGATCTAATCACCACCCTCCAAGCCCCTCCTCCAACACTGGGGATTACAATTCAACGTGAGATTTGGGCAGGGACATAAATACAAACCTTATCAAACACTTTCCAGAATTTTAGCAGTCAAAAAGCTTAAGATAGCCAGTGTGGTGGCTCGTTGCTGGGGATCCCAGCAGTTTGGGAGGCCTAGGCAGATGGATTGCTTGAGCCCAGGAGTTTGAGACCAGCCTGGACAACGTGGCAAAACCCTTTTGTACAAAAAGTACAAAAATTAGATGGGTGTGGTGGCACATGCCTGTAGTTGCAGCTACTTGGGAGGCTGAGGTGGAAGGATCACCTGAGCCCGAGAAGTTGAGGCTGCAGTGAGCCATGATTGTGCCACAGTACTCCAGCCAGGGAAACAGAGTGAGACCTCGTCTCAATAAATAGATCATTAGAGTTCCTGGCTGCCTATCAGGAAGCACTTCTGCTTCTTCTCCCTATATGCGTTGAGCATCAGTCCCGGACCTGGGTTGCTTTCAAATCTCCATCTACTATAACTTCAAGTTTCCTGCTTGTGTTTATCTGCAGTCTTTTTCACAATATAAGTTGAGCAGGTTTAACTGCTGAAACTGTGTCAAATCATTGCACCAAATCATTAAGTTTTGCCCGTCAGTTCGCTGATACCTTCTCAAGGATGAAAGTGTCCACTCTTCAGACCAGGGAGCTTTCTCACACTTTATGCCTCTGAGCAGCACTGTATATAGTGATTGCAAGAAACACAGTACTTAAAAATAGTCTGTCTTCACATCTGGAAGGGTTTTCAGTGTGCTGTGTTCTAAGCTGGAAAGATAGTATTATTGTATCTTACCCAGGTCTGAAAGGAGTGACGGGTGGGTAGAAAGCAGATTGAAAGTATTCATTTCATCGTCTCCTGGCTGGATTGCGTGACCTCCTCATAAAGCCAAGCTGGAAGGTGTGCTTCATATTACCAATAACAAAAATAGAGTACCTGGAACAGCATGACGCCCCCCAAATGCATGAATAACCTAGAAGAGCCGTAGCTCTTAGAGCATCGTGGGGAGGGATTCTCGGACAAGTAAAACCACTTTATGGGATACCGTGGGACTCCAAAGGAGAGTGATGGGCCACTGTCCCTACAGGTGAAGAAAGACGGGTTGCTGTTATGGAGGGGGTATTCTCATCTATTCATTTGTTTAGTCACTTGTTCCTCTATCCACCCATCCACTCATTCTCAGAATTGCTGCTGAACTCCTGCTGTATCAGGTAACATGCCAGGTGTTTGGGATAGAAAGAAGAAGACACGGCTGGGCGTGGTGGCTCATGCCTGTAATGCCAGCATTGTCATACATATCAGCCTCAGCATTCGGGACGCTGAGGTGGGCGGATCGCGAGGTCAGGAGTTTGAGACCAGCCTGGCTAACATGGTGAAACCTTGTCTTTACTAAAAATACAAAAATTAGCCAGGCGTGGTGGCAGGTACCTGTAATCCCAGCTGCCCAGGAGGCTGAGGCAGGAGGATTGCTTGAACCCGGGAGGTGGAGGTTGCAGTGAGCTGATATGGTGCCCTTGCACTCCAGCCCAGGCAACAGAGAGAGACTGTCTCAAAAAACAACAAAACAAAACAAAACAAAAAGAAAAAGAAAGAGAAAAAAAGGAGACACACCTTGAGCACCTTAGTCACCTCTTGTTTCTTTGTCAATAGAATGTGGCCTCGGGGTGTT